GGTAAGCACCTCTGTATGCTGATAAACCCTAAATAATCGTATCACGAAGCAATAAAAATTCCACAACACTAGTTAAGAGACTCAACTATTGCCACCAGCGAATCAAACTATCAGCATCTCAACCAACCTAAAGCTCTAAGAAAAGCGGGAGGTAATCTTTACCCTCAAAAGAAAATGGGAAAAGGGCCTCCTCTCTAACCTAGACGGAGCCGCGCTCTCTCTTTTACTACGTCTATATCGTGATGATAACAATCACCAACTGAGAATGAGAATACTCCCAAGCAACTTAAAAAACATTAAATCCCAATCAAATACAGTAGAAACAAATATATATACCTTACATCGCACTCATACAAAAGGAAGGAATGTTACGTTTATTTGTTTATTTATTATTTATTTTATTTTTCACTAGCACAACTTATTCAAAGTTTTGCAGTTTGCGTACAGAGCTTTTTCTTATATAAGAGATCACATGACGAGACATCACTAACTGATGTTAGATTAAAACGGATCCGATAAGCCTACACTGGAACATATTTGTGTACAAAATTTTCATCAACGTACATAATTCAGGCAAGCTTCAAAAGCAACAAAGATTTATCACCTTTTTAACAAACTAGAAATTTAATTACAGAAATATTGATACAGAAACCCCAGTTCAACTACACATGAAGAGCACCTACCACGCATGATTTGTTTTATATATTCAAGGGAAATGAACTTTGTTGTGATTATCCTGAAATTGCATGCATTTGTAAAAAAAAAATCAAGGTTCAGTCGAAATTAACACTAACCTACATTTCATAAACAACCAGTATAAGCATAATAGAACAATAACTTCACAATTAGAAGAATAATACAACCACCACAAAACGTAGTAACATCAGAATTAGACACCAAGAAGGTTAGTGAATTCTCTCCCTGTGACTACAATTTTCATACAATGAAGCTTGAAAGCAGTGCATACCAAAACTAACAGCATATTAACGTCCACTTTTCGAACGTGTCACAAATACAAGATAGAATTCAAGCAAACACTGATCTGATAGTGTCATATAAGTGAATCTATGCCTTCAAATTTTTGGTTATTATCGTGAGAATGGTTACAAAAAGAATAAAACAATATGATTTATATAGATGAAGTTTAATTAAAGCAAGAAATAAATAAGAAAACAAGGTAGCATTTACTTAAGTAACAGCAAAAACTATTACACCTTCAAACAATTCAGTCCAAACTCAAGCACATAATCAAATTGCCAAACATAAAAAATAATTATACAAAAATTACGAAATCAAACTATCATAGACCCTAAGATCACAGATCGGGTTATTTTTATACATATTCTAGTTAATGCTACAACATAATACCAAAACTTTATGATCCATTGAGTACTAAAACGCTCGTCATCAAAGTCAAAAGTTGCATATAGTATCCTACCATTTATTTGAAACTGAATGTAAGTCTAAAATTTGTCATACTTAGTACCCTTAAAGCGTAGTGTCAAAGAATATGACCAGGTATACTGAGCTATACACAATATGACCATGTATAATAAGCTATACAATTAGTTTTCAGAAACAGGTTTATAGTCTTTAGCATCTTATTGGTCATCTCAACCTAAGAGATGATCAAGATATGTCTGTGAACTTGGAAGCGGAAAAAACACAATACTGTTCTGCAAGTGGCTCCCTAGTTTCTCCCTTCGATATCATTCTATGACAAACAGACATTTGTTTTATGACTACATCACGATAACTTCAGTTGCAAAGGTTGTTATCATTCAATACGAGGCACAGAAACAGAAAATGTATGTCAACTATTCCACGTTACTCCTAATGTTTTTGGTGCATATAGCATCAATGATGAACCTATTTATACAAATTCTTGGATGTTGCGTTTTTATCCGTAAGGTCCCAATAAGGCAACCTTATCGGCTTATAACAACAAGATATCTTATTTGCCTGCCTCAACTAACTACTTCTATTACTCATCTTTATCGCACCTTCAACTACAATGCATCCTTACTTAAAGTAACATCAGTCTTGTATACAAGCCTCAGCCACCTCAACAATTTCCTCCATAGTCATTTGTTTTCTAACTCAATGCAGATAATGAATTTGAAAGAAAAAATATGTCCCTTTTAAGGAACAAAATTTATATGTTTCAAGCTAAGCTAGTACTTTTGCCTTTTCAACTTTCAGGTTAGTTCCTTACCCAGTCATATTTAACTAATACAACATCAAGAACGAACATGAACAAAAGATGCATGACTAAATGTGCCATATAGGCCATATTGAATAACGTTGGCAAGGGAACAAGATGTATAGTGTCACATAAGACTGAATAGGGGAGACAATGTCACATACGTCTCTAACTAGAGGTTTTGACAGCATAAAAGCACAGTATGCATGAAATATATCACATGTATTTGCTTGTGCAGAAATTTAGAAAGAAAAGCTAGACAATGGATGTGACCACCAATAACCACTAACATGGTTCATGTTCATACCTCACTACAAAATATTAATCGCAAACAACTTAGCTTTAACCCTTACCATTACATAGTAAGTAATGGATAATCCCACAAATCCACAATATAGTAGAAGTGAAGTGGAAAAGAAACATCCTCAAATGACAAGCCAATTTTACAATGGGACGCAATATTGATGTGCATACACCATGATAGTTCTTGACAGATGAAATAATTGTAAACCGAAACCCTTGTCATGGTAAATTTATAGACAGAGTTGGTACAGAGAATGTTGGTTCAGGATCACAAGAAGCCAAAGAAAGCACTGACCATTTCTAACGTATACTATCTGCAGCGGTAACAATGAATAAGCTGAATGACCATGACTAGAAAACAAATATTGTAATTTGCATGTGCAGAAATTATTTCTGAAGGGCTAACCATCGAACTAACTACAAAAAATGATGGGAAATCTGCACAAGAGGGAAATCCTCCCATATTATAGAACACAATTACACACACATTACTACCCACCATCCGGACTTAAATTTTTTAATCTTCACTAGTCTATTAAGCCTTTTCCAAATTATGTCACACATCTATCACCATTCTCTCGCAAAAATGAGAATAAAAAAATCATCGATTTACTATGGAATACAAAATCCACAAGATTCTTACTATGTTTGGCTTCGGTGTCAGAACTATGCATCTCAAACAATAAATAAATAAATAAATAAAGCATTAAAAAACTCAAGTACTTATAGTAACTACAGCCCACCAACGACATACAGAGATATAGCTAGAGATAGAACAAGAGTTACCAAATATACCATACTAAATATATAAGAAAATCACATGACTACCTTTATGACTCATCTAATAACTCCAAACATTGAGGAACACATTATCTTAGAACCCTCTTTATAGTGTACATGGATAAGTATCCATTCTACTATAGTACATATAAATTCATGTACAACCAAAACATATCATATAAACCTGTGTTTACTATAAGTAGGTCCTTCTAGGGAAGGTGTCTTCTATTTTGAAGATATATAACTATCCAATCAACAAAATCTCAAGTAGTGTTGACTCTATGCATAAACAAATTTATCGCTGACTTGGGAAAGCATAAAATGAGAAATTCCCAAACGAGCATCAAATCATCAAGCACTGAGGCAGATAAAAAGTAGACATACCAATGCCATAAAAACATGCAACAATATTTATAGATATCAATATTTAGTAAGCCAATGTAAAAATAAAAGATTTTCTTTAGCAATCAGACAATAGAAGCTTACTTCACTTGCACCTTGTAAATAACAAATTGAGACCAGAAAAGGTACATTGCCGGATAAGGAAATGCCAATTCCCAAACATAATCAAAAATTAAAATAGTACGTATGGAGATCAATACCTATTAAGCTATATTTATTAAGCTATATTTATTAAGCTAATACAAAATTGAATGTCTTCATAAAGCAATCATCCATCTATATGTAGATCACTTCAGTTGTACCTTGTTTGTAACAAGTAGAACACAAAAAAAGTACACTCCCAGACAAGGAAAACCCAGTTTCCAAATATAAGTATTTTTCTATGCAAAGAGCTGCATAGGAAAAGCACTATCCAATAAGAGCAAGCAGTAGATAACAAGAAAACATCCTCAACAATGGGCAATCATACTTTCCCCCAATCAACACAAATAGAATAAACGGGCAATGCACAGAAAATAATAATGCATATTCCAAAGGGTCGCGCGAGGAAGGCATACATTGTGGCCATGGGCGTTGGAAAAATTCTCCACCCACAGAAAGTGTCAATGGCTACAAGTTCCAATGCATTGTTCTTGAGCACAGTTACTCTTTATTACCAAAGAAACATCATAGAATATATATATATATATACCTAAGGATTCATTCTTATGTCAACTTAAATGGACCATCCACCAAACTTTCTATCCATCGATAATATCTAGGGATTCATTCTTATGTCAATTTAAATGGATCATCCACCAAACTTTCTATCCATCGATAATACCTAAGGATCCATGCAAGATATGTAAAGACTTTATATATATATATATACACGAGTGGATAGAAAGTTTAGTAGACAAAGACTTCTTGTCTACTTAAGTTGACATAAGTTCAAATATATATATATATATATATA